CATTTGGCCCGGCCATAGGTTTTTAAATGCTGTGTGTTTGATATTGTTATTGTCTATTGCTTATTGTGTATTTTCCTGTTTTTTAGTTATTTTAACTGTTTTGTATTGATTATTGTTATTGCTTTTGTTTATTGATGTATTGTGGGCTTGGCCTCATGTAAGCTGCACCGAGTCCCTTGGGGAGATGGTAGCGGGGTACAAATAATAATAATAATAATAATTATTATTATTATTATTATTATTATTATTATTATTATTATTATTATTATTGCATTGTGCATCTTTACATTAAAACACAAACCAGCCCCACATCACTTCATCTCTCAAATATTAACCAAGGGACCAAGCTACTCTCAGATTATCTATCAGTGTAGACTCATATAATACAGTTCAAATCGGATAATCTAGGATCTGGGATAAAGGACAGTGTAGATCCAGTTTTAGCAACAGGTCAAAAAGCAATATGATGTTACTTCTATTGATGGATTAATTTTGTTAATCCCTAAATATGTTGTTAATTAACCAAAGCTAATATAACCAGTGTTGAGGAATGCTAGGAGATCCAATTAAAGGGCCACACATTTCTAGGGAACTTAGAGCTTCCAATTCAATTGAGTAAGTTACTCTAGTCCCTCATCCTTCTGCCAGCATTAGGCCTCTCTATTCCTTGGATGTTAAGCCTGAGGGCAAGAGACAGTTTTGTTTCTCTTCTTATTATAAAGCACCATGTGCAGTAAAGGTGCTATATGAATAAATGATAATGGTAACAATAATATTCCTGATTACTATGATGCTGGTCCCCAGCCATACCTGTTGAGCACCGCTACCCACATATAGGAAATTCCCTCAGGAATTAGGAAACTCTGGGGCTGCCGGTTCTTGAATAAGCATAATACAGGGTGAGACAGACATCACTCAACGTTACAGTCTAAGTTCATTAGACTCTTCTCTACATCAAAAACAATAATGTGTTTCCCTAGAATCCATTTTCATTTGGTGCAGTCTATCCTCTAAGCCCAAGAAACGTATTATGCACCTTGCTTTCTCCAAAGCAAGCCAGGCACATGGGAATGAGCAGGCAGGGTGTATAATATTATGTGGAAGAATTGGGGAAAGCCTCTGCATGGGAATAATGTTTCTGTCTTGGTTTCTGTCAAATATCTCACACAAACTAACTTCCCTTGACTATAGTTTGTTTGGATGCGTAATTAAACCAATAGTGTTTGGCGTCTCCACTTGCTCAGTCCAGCATTTTGACTCCAATTAAAAGTCAGTGGCTGATGGAGAATGAGGCCATGTTGTTGTTGTTCATTTGTTCGGTCGTTTCCGACTCTTCGTGACTTCATGGACCAGTCCCGCGCCAGAGCTCCCTGTCGGTCGTCCCCCCCCCCCCCCCAGCTCCTTCAAGGTCAATCCAGTCACTTCAAGGATACCTTCCATCTATCTTGCCCCTCTTCCTTTTTCTTTTCCCTTTTCATCATACTCTTCTCTAAGCTTTCCTTTCTTCTCATGATGTGGCCAAAGTACTTCATTTGCTTTGCTATTGTTGTGTTATTTTTTTACTGTATTGTGTTTTGAGGCTTCGGCCTGTGTGAGCCGCATCGAGTCCCTCGGGAGATGCTAGCGGGGTACAAATAAAGTTAATAATAATAATAAATAATAATTCATCTTGGCCTCTACTATTCTTCCCTCCAATGAGCACTCAGGCTTTATTTCTTGAAGTATGGACTGGTTGGATTTTCTCTGCATACAAGTTGAATAGGTTGGGTGAGAGTATACAACCCTGCTGTACGCCTTTCCCAATCTTGAACCGATCTGTTGTTCCATGGTCAGTTTTGACTGTTGCTACTTGGTCTTTATACAGATTCCTCAGGAGAGAGATAAGGCGATTTGGTATACCCATACCACCAAGAACTTGCCACAATTTATTATGATCCACAGAGTCAAAGGCTTTAGAATAGTCAATGAAACAGAAGTAGATGTTTTTCTGAAATTCCCTGCCTTTCTCATTATCCAGCGGATATTGGCAATTTGGTCTCTCATTCCTCTGCCTTTTCTGAACCAAGTTTGTACATCTGGCAACTCTCTCTCCATGTATTGCTGGAGTCTTCCTTGCAGGATCTTGAGCATTACCTTACTGGCATGAGAAATAAGGCCACTGTACAGAAGTTTGAGCAGTCTTTAGCATTTGCCATGGTTGCTGCCTTTACTTCTACAAATCTGCTGAAAAATGCCATAAACAACTTCACGCCAACATTCATCTAAAAATCCTCCTTATGCAAATTACTAATTCTACAATTTCAGTAGGCCTCCAAAAATATATCACATTACATTGCCACATTATTATGTGGGTTTTGTTTTCAGCTCTGGGCAACAATAGAATGAGATTTAATTCTGGTTTAGAGGATAGAAATACCAGGTGCAACAAGGGAAGACCAAAGGCTGAGCAGACTGTGCAAACACTTCCTGGAAGTTTTTCCTCCCCCATCTTGCTCATGACTTGCAAGACTTTGTTAAGACGTTCCTCATCATTTACTCTGCACCACTAAGGCCAGAAGTGTGCTTTCTGGAAATATTAAGATTCTCACGTAATTGTATTTTGTGCCCGTGTAAACCATATTTCAGGATCTGTTGAGCACACCCAGAAAAGGAAATTCAGGCACCTTCTGCCCTACCTGCTAAAAATGCTGATTTATTCATGATGCTCTTGGCTTGGGAATACTTTTGCTTTCATCTGACCATAACTCAAAAACTGTTCACAGATCAGTCTTAACAACAAGAAGACTTTGCCCCTGTCAAGACTACTTTACAACTCAGTTTAAATCAGGCAGTTTGGACTTAATGTCATCTTGATCCCATTGACCCCAAAGGAGACTATAACAGCTTAAATCCAAGGATTTTAGGTTAATTGGATTGTGGAATAGGCTGTCACAACATAACAAGTCCTTTTTGCTGATCTACCTGAACAGTGGTGTTTTCATTAACTTTCTGTAAGCTATCTGACAACTCATTGGATAAGCTAGGCTGAATGAAAATGAATGGCGACAAAAGTAACTTGTTTATTTTCCTTCTCCTCCCCTTAAATAAGTTATTATTGAAACAAACAACCCTTTCTACCCTTCAAGTAGGATGCTTATAATCCTAACGAAGATAATTTAATACATATATACTCATGATACTTATCACTTAAATACTATGCAGTATCATCTCTAAAGCTCCACAAATTACCAAATTAAAGATGGCATCCCAATGTTTCATTTACAGAAAGATCTAATTTTATATCCTTGACGAATTACAGATCAACAGATAAGGAGACACACTTCATTATACATTTCAAGGAGACTTACTTCATATTATCTTCTATAAATAAATGAGCTCCAAAAGAGCAACGCACACACAACTACAATTGTATACTGTGTATGGAAAAGCCCTGTTCTTTTGCATAAAATTGATATTAAAAATATTGTTGGCCTGTACCTTATCAAGACAGTGACTATCAATCTATAGCAACAGTTCTTTTTGAATCAACCAATTGTGTTTTTCCTGGAATAAAGCATGTGAAAAGATCAGCTGAAAATCTCCTCTCCAAGATCTTTCTCATAGTTGTAACAAAGACAGAAAGGTATATGGTAAGGTTATATTCATTTTTTAAATAATATTTAGTCTGGATGTCCAGAAGTAATAGGTCAGCACTTCTGTTTTCGTTCTGTCACTATTGCAGGCTTCAGTCAATGCAGTTTATTTAAATATACAGGCTTGTATATTATGACGCTGAAAGAACCATACAACTACTTTATTCTTTGTTGTATATGCATTGCTTTCGAAGAACAGCTGCCTAGAAGAGTTTTACAAGGAAACAAGATTTTTCCTCGGCTTTACAGAATCTAGCAAATTACAGTGTGCATCCTTTGCTCACAGACCATCTGTCTATTAAAGAAGAACGGGGGCAGAAAGACCTGCAGGGAAAATATGTGGATTCAAGTTGCATCCACAGCCTGAAAACAGCATGGCAGCAAGTTTCAGTTTATCTATTCTCCTTTTTCTATTTTTTATAGATTTTTTAACACTTAAAGGCATAACTGTATCTAAAAAAAATGAGGAATTGATGAAGAAATGCTTCAGCTCTGCAGTCAAAAGTGGTGAAAGCCATCACATTTGAAGAATAAAATGGACAGAGTTAGTTTTTTTCCCTAAGTCCTCTCCACTCCCCATCTGCCATCCCATTTTACCAACTCCTGAAGGGAAAAGGCTGGCCTGAGCCTGTTCTGTAAGAAGATTTTACAAGGTTTCAGCTAGGTATTAATCACTCATCACTATTGTGGCGAAAGGAAGGGTTCAGTATTAAACCCATAGGTTAGGTGATAGCAAGATGGGTAGGCAATTGATCCGTTTCCTCTTACTGCTCCCAAACATAATGATTTATTTTTAATTCCTCCACAGAAATTAATTTACCAATATGGGAAGAAAACCAAGAACGTATTTGGGTGCAAAATATTTAACCCGATGACCATTTTACAAGTACTGATGAGAGTTTACGCAATTAAGAATCAAGCCTCTTCTGTGGATTGCATGTCTCCAACCTGTTTAGGCTTCTTTTACACATAGATTATGTGTTTAGCCTGCCCTTCTGACATAAATTTCCAAGTAGCATAAATTGTGAGGTTTCTTAGTGATATCCTCACAAAGAAAGGATGACGAAGGTCATATCCTGAACTTTGTAGCTTTGAGTAACTGATTCAGAGCCAATACAATCTTCTACATGCTCTTTTGTCAGCAATGCACTGAAGACACCATAAACAGCAACAATAATCATGGCAGAAAGCTGTGCTTGATGGTAATGAGGTGGCAGCTTTTCTCACAAGCATTTTCCTGAGTGTTTCTTTTCTTCAAAAAAGGCTCAAAGTTGGATTGGAATACTAGGCCAGAGAGGCAATCTAATTCTGTCCTCAGAAAAGAGTGTATGTTACACTTGCTTTTGAAAGATGTGAGCAAGACCTTACCTTGACGTGGTCCCCTTTTTCGACGGAAAGCTGCTCCTGACTGCAAGGCCTCCATTAAACTGTCCATAACTCCGGTTTCATCGCCTTCTGCAAGGAACAACAGGTTTTAAAACAGGGTGAGTTCTGGTTGCCTCCATCAACAAGAGCCACAACTTGACACAGATGCTTGAAACATCACCCTGATCCCACATAATGATTATTCTCCCTCCACCCCAACAAGATTGTAGAGAAACATGGTATCCAGACAAATCTTAATTTACAATTCTTCCTGGATAATCCAAGCTCAGAACACATATGGGTAGAGACTAGGAAATGAAATGACATGTCAGACTGCTTTTTCTTGGAAAGCCGAAACACATCTATAAAACAGTAGCTCAAGGAGCAGTTAAGCTTAAAATGCTTCTTTTTAACATGTTTCCTCACAGACATGTGTTGAGATTTTTTTTTTTTAAAAAAAAGACAGGATTTAAACAAGCAACCTGCACTGCTCTCACACTCTGCAAAGGTACAATCTGGGAAGGTCTCCTTTGCACCTTTGACTCAAGATGAAAATGGATATATTTGTGTGTTTAACACACACTTTCAACTATGTTTATTACCACAGTTTGGCTCTCAAGCAAGGGCAGTAAAGAAGATGCGGCAGTCAAAACTGACACCTGTCCCCTTTTATTTCCTGGAATATCATTGCTTTATTATTTCATTGCCTATCAGCTATTTAAGATCTACAGAGATACTCGCAGGAACACCTTAGCAAGCAAGAGTCCAAAAGTGGCAGGCTAAAACCCAGAACTTCAAGCCATGGCTGATATCTGAGAGACTCCCACTTGGACACACCACGAGCTGCAGAGCCAACCTTAAATGGGGCCACAAAGTAGAGTCCACGACCTTCAAGTGTGGAGAAGAGCAAACCACAGACCATGTATTACAATGCAGTCTGAGCCCTGCTACATGCGCAATGGAGGACCTCCTTATAGTAACACCAGAAGCACTCCAAGTGGCCAGGTACTGATCAAAGGACATTTAATATAATGCCAAATTTTTAAACTTTGTGTTTTTAAAATACATTACAACTGTACCCTGGGTTTCTTCTGATTTGATAAATAAATATTAATATTGAAAATCAGCAAAAAAAGGAGAATACTTCTTTAAGCAAGAAAGCACAGGGAGATGAAAAGGGCAGGTTTTATTTTTGCTCCCGCACATTCCTTTTAGTTGAACACACCTTCCCTGCTTTTTAATTGAATCTGTTTGATACATACATATAGGCATGCAGTGCTTGTTTCCAATAGATACCAAATCCATCCAAACAAATTTTACAGGAATTGGAAAAAATGTGTTGAGCATATGCATTCTCTGGTCATAAAACACCATTTTCCAAGCCCTTCACCAAATTGATTTTGGTATGTTTTTATAGTTTTGATCTGTACGTAATATTCTACTTGTAGCCAACAATGCGCTGGTAACTCCTTTTTCAATGTTTGCTTTTGATATGGTACTTTTTGGAAACAAGCAACACATCACATAGGCATGTCTGCTTTGATCCAAAAAAGTCTTCTATAAGAGAAAAAGAAAATATTCTTCTGGAGCAGTAAAAGAGAAGCTGAGGGAAATCCAAAGCTTGCTGTCTCCTGCATCTAAGGTGCCCATTGCTTTGGATACAGTGGGGCCGGTACACAAGTGGTTGGGGGAGGGGAGGGAGGATTTAAATCCCATTCTTCCTAGTGATGTACAAGGGTGGATTTGAATTGTTCCATCCCAATACGGAGGAATGCCTCTGTGCCATACGGTCAAGTGGAATCCCTTTGTAACCCAGCCTGCCCTCCCTCCCTTCCTCCCACATGTTGTAAGCTTCCTGGCAGGATCCCAGCCATCTTTAATGGGCCCAGCTGCTGGGTTATTCTGTTGCTTTGATGTGATTAGCACCCCGCGGGTATTAGTGCCATCCATTTCCATTAATCTACTTTTCACTCTCTGCAGTCCTCTCTGGCCACTAAGGAGATTAGCCGCCCTGCCCCGACTGATCTCCTTCCCCTAGCAACAAGCACCCGCCTTGTCCGGCAACCATGTGCCAATGGAGACTTCCTGCACCCTGCGAGGGCATGACAGTGCTGCCATTCCTCTGCCAGAGACACAGCAGAAGGAGTGGGATAAAGAGCATAAATGCAGATGCACAAAAGAGAAAAGGACTGTGATAAGCGTCTTAATTCATATGAGAAGGGTAGCCAGTTATACCCTGGAAAGGGGGAATATAGCTGTGATACAGCTATTTTGTTTTTAAATTTTTCTGAATAAAATCTTAGGCAGCTACATTCAATTATTTCCTATTAATATGTGTCTGAGTTCAAATTTGGCAGCATCTGCCAAAAAAAGAAGAAGAGAGAACCCCCAAGACTCCATTATTTGCATAAAGATGCACGGTCCCTTTCACATTCCATCTGCCTCTGTTTCCAGTGAGCTCGATGTTGAAGAAAGGGTTAACCACAAATGCAGGAAGAGCTCGGGCAAATCTAGGTTTCCATGGTAACAGCTCCTGACAAAACATAAACCTATAAAATCACATTAGAACATCTGCTGGGTGCTTTCAGGCACCGGGAATCCATTGTCCACAGTGCCACCTCCTGGCCAAAAGACCCTGCTACATCTGACCTATATCCATGGCACAGTCAACCTGCTAATTGGGGCTCTCCACCTCTGGCCCGTTCTGGAAGAACCGCCAAAGGCACATTAAATTGAAGAGGAATCATTCTCCTGGAATGCAAACCGAGACATACAGAAATCTGCCAGCTATGGGCAAAAGCAGAGCTGACACCTCAGAACCTGGGTTTTAAAACCATCGTAACATCAGAAGGGCATTCGGCATGCCTAATGCACTTCTAGAAACCGAACTTGTAGACTTCATGTAGCTGGAATTAAACAACCTGGTCTATAATGGCTCATGCTTTCCATCCCAAATATCAACAACCCTCCTTTTGGTGCAACTGTCATAGAATCATAGAGATGGAAGAGACCTCATGGGTCATCCAGTCCAACCTCTGCCAAGAAGCAGGAAATTTGCATTCAAAGCACCCCCGACAGATGGCCATCCAGCCTCTATTTAAAAGCTTCCAAAGAAGGAGCCTCCACCACACTCCAGGGCAGAGAGTTCCACTGCTGAACTGCTCTCACAATCAGGAAGTTCTTCCTAATGTTCACGTGGAATCTCCTTTCTTCTAGTTTGAAGCCATTGCTCCGTATCTTAGTCTCCAGGGCAGCAGAAAACAAGTTCGCTCCCTCCTCCCTATGACTTCCTCTCACATTTTTACTGTCATGTAAGGGTGCTATGTAAGTGATGGAACTGTACAGGTGAGCATGCATTATCAAGCACGTCTGAAAAGACCACCATCATCTAAAGGCTGGCAAAAAGTCAGCCCAAGAATATGCTGGCAATATATACTATAGCAAACCTGACTGTCATTCAGACCAATATGGCTTATAGAAAAATATCACTGAGGTTGGATGCCTGTGCTTCTCACTGAAAAGAATTGCTACAGCAAAGGGACTGGGAGCCATCTGGCAATTTGAAAGGGCCATGTGATTGATGGCAGGAGCAACACGGAGGCAGCTGAATAGGTCAGCCATCTGCGTGTGGAAACATGTGAGGGAAAGCTAGCCATCACAGGGAAAACCTATACTGCCTTGTTTTTCCTTCAGCTCCTCCAGCCTGATTTACTTGTCTCCATTATTTAGTTCTTCCTCAGCTCCTCCAGAGACTGCACAAAAACAGCAGCCTGCGTACAGGAAAACGTAGGCAGGAAGCACCAGAAGATTTCAAGGCTAAGACGCGTGCATACGAAAACACTCTCCTGAAGGAAATGATGCCAACAAGCCAGGCAGTTCTGAACAGAACAGAGGTGACATTAAAACAATAGATTTTGTATGGAAAGTCATGGGAGACCTGGACCAGACCAATCACCCATCTAGCCTGGCGTTCTAAAGCTAACATGGAAAATGGACACTTTCCTATACTGTGTTAGATCACTGGTCCATCTAGCTCACCATTATAGATATTCATGGCCAGGATTACCAGTCAGGACTCTTTCCCAGCCTTTCGTGTGGTTAACTACATGCTTCCAGAAAGGTCACAAGCAGAGTCTGAGAGTGAGAACAGTCCCGACCATATTCTTCTCAGCAAATGGTACTCAGATATATCACCCCAAACCTAGCCTCTCTATCAAGGCATCATGGTGCAATAACACAGTAATGCCCTTTCCACACAGCTGTATAAAATCGCACATTATCTGCTTTGAGCTGGGTTATATGGCAGTGTGGACTCAGATAACTCAGATATTGTGCATTATCTGCCTTGATATTCTGGGTTATATAGCTGAGTGAAAGGGCCCTAAGGCTCCTTATCAGGTCTCCTTATTTTGAGAAAAGGGCTTTAGGGCCTCATCATTCTAGAAAAAAAGGGAGAGGGACAGAGAAAGCTCCTCTCTTGCCACAGAAACTGGCTACTGGCATCACAAGAACTGAGAAATACTTCATCCAGTGTATATGAAGAGATCTGTGAGAATTGTGAGGCCCTCTAAATTCCCTCACATCCTTCCTTGACAAGGCCAGTGCTGTTCCTCCACAGATATATTGCACATAGCTTTGTTTTGCCACAGTAATTTGAGCCACAATTGTGGGGGGAAGGGGGGAAAGAATGCGGGGAGATCCATAAGCCGTGTCACTCAGCAAAACTTCAGCTTGCTCAAAGGCAAGGATAACTGGCAGGAAATTGCGGGAGACAGGAAATAAGCAGACAGGGGTAGTAATTGAGTCCATATGTTCTAACAAAGGAATGCCTTTGGTAGTAAAGAGAAGATTGTGCCTGTATGGAAGAAAGCCTCATTTAATGGGGAGAACAGAAGATTCAGCTTCACAAGGGACCCCTTGATAGGATCTTCAGAACAAGCACCTCAAAAATTTGCTCTGTGCAAAGATGGGCTTGTATGGCCTTCATTTACACTTTCAGGACAGAAACTAGAGGATCCATCATACCATCTTAAACTACGACCTACAAAACACGTTGATTAAATAACCTAATGTTTAGCAATATGATCATCTAACACTGAAAAGGGGAATTATAGAGAACTTCAATACTCAACAACCAAGATATAGCTCATTTGCTAGAAATAACAATAAGAACTAAATTTAAAAATAACAGAAAGAGGGTTTTCATTTCAAACATGAAACCCCAGAAAGTGGACTCAATCTGTAGCCTCGGGTTCTAATATGATGAAGTAAATTTCCAAAGAAGTTCTTGTTTTATTTTGTTGGAAAAATAAGAACAAGAAATCTTGTAATTTGTAGCCCTACAAAGCTGTTGGGGGCGATCACCTTTATTATGGCATAAGCTTTTGTAGCCTAGATTCAACTTCATCAGACTGAGAAGTTTTATCCTTAGTTGGCAGGTATATATGGGAGGAACATATAGAAATAGTGTTGAGTGTCAAATGATAACATGAGAAAAACATACAATCTGTGCAACTATTCAAACATTCATGAAAACTTATGCCAAGATAAAGGTGTAAATTTGTAAGATGTTACAAAATACTTTGATATTTATAACCACCAGCCATCATTATAAACATTATTTACTTCCAGATTGGGGGGGGGGGGGGAGAACTACAGCAATACAATTACTACCTAATCTGATTTATTTATTTACAAAATGAATAGAAAAAGGTAACACAATGATCATGGAAAATAAAAAATAATTTAAAACACTGACAATAAATTTAAAAGTTTCACTCCCAAAACTCAGCTGAAAAATGTCCCCCATTTTCTTCTGTTAAAAGGAGACAATCGAAAGGAAATGTTCAAAGGGATTCTGAAGGATTTAAGTGTCATGAAAAACTTAAAAGGGAAAGGCACATGTGTTAAGGGCTACTGCCTTATTCTCTTTCTTGTGAGTTTCATGGAAGAATCTGGATGGCCAGTGTTAGATAAAAACTACTGAACTGAACAGGTTCTGTGACTAATCCAGGCAAGTTCTTAAGTTTGTTCTAATGAAGAGGAAAGACTCACTTTCCCATCAAGGGGTCTGGCCTGTCTCTTTCTGGATAGCTTTCTAGTGAGGCAATGAATTCACACAACTGTTGAATAAACCCATGTGGACAACCAGAAGGTCAGGGCTGCTGCACCAAGGTCTATTATGTTCACATGTAAAGCTAAGCTTACCCTGCTTTGCATTCAGACCCCATTCACCAAGCTATTCCACATACCTGCATTCATGTCAATAAGTTGTTCTCTCTTCTGTTGCTTCTCCTGTCGTTCTTTCTCTGCCTTCTCTTTGGCTAGTTTAGCTCTCCGCATCTTCTCTTCTGTCTCCCTCCGCTTCTGGTTTTCCTTTAACGCTTGCTGAAAACAAGACACACCTCATGGTAGCAATGGGGGTGTTAGAGGAACAGGGTCCAAATGATGTTTCATTCCCAATAGCAGAACACATTGTGCAAGGAGATGCACACAGGATTAGACAGATCTATGCAGAATAGCTCTATCAACTGCAGTTGGGCAAGAAACATACACAATACCAACTTCTGAAAGGGATAAAGCAGCATACCAATCAACCATTGAAAATCTCATTCATTACACTTCTCATTTTTTAAAACGAAGCCATGAGCGTTTGAGGATCAGGACATTCATAGAGATACTAAGATGCTTGTCCTTCCTACTCTATGGTATGCCTGCAAAACATGGACCATCTACAAACATCACTCTCGACTTCTGGAAAGATTCTACCAGCATTGCTTCTGAAAATCCTGCAAATCTCTTAGGAAGACAGGTGGACAAATGTCAGTGTTCTGGAAGAAGCAAACACCACCAGCACTCAAGCAATGATCCTCCACCATCAATTTTGCTGGACTGGTCACGTTGTCCAAATGCCTGATCATTGTCTCCCAAAGCAGCTACCTTATTCTCACCCCAATAACAGAAAACAGAATGCTGGTGGACAACAAAAGAGATATAAAGATGGGTTTAAAACTATCCTTTAAAAATGTGATGTAAACACCAAGAACTGGGAAGCCTTGGTACTCAAGTGTCCCAATTGAAAGTTACTTGTTACCAAGAGTGCTATGGATTTTGAAAAAGCACAAATAGAGGGCAAAAGGGAGAAACATGACAAGAGGAAGGCACATCAAGCAAATCCTTGTCAGGATTGACTTCCATCTGGAAATCTATGTTCTCAATGTCAAAGACCACGTGGATCCAAAATAGGTCTCCATCGTCACTCACAGACTCACCTCAAAGACTCTAGCCTTGGAAGACAATCATATTCAGTTATGAGTGATCATCTACAGCAGTGGTTCTCAACCTGTGGGTAACCAGATGTTTTGGCCTTCAACTCCCAGAAATCCTAACAGCTGGTAAACTGTCTAAGATTTCTGGGAATTGCAGGTCAAAACACCTGGGGACCCACAGGTTGAGAACCACTGATCTACAGTATAGTATCAATTCAATTTCATTTCACAACGGATATGGGTATAGTTGCAGAACAGTTGCAACTCAAAAAACATGTTCAGGAATATTTATTCCTTGAAAAAGGAATCAATCCATTTGAGAGAATTTGTAGTTTTACAAAGTTGGAAGTACTTGTTTGAGGGGAAATTCAGGTGGGGAATTGTAAACTTTCAGAGAACAACCTTATCATGCATGTCTTCTACAGTAATATTATGAGAAGACATCTATCAGAACCTCTGCAAAATATAAAAGGGCGAAATATGGATCAAACACAACAAGAGATGGCCATCTCCCAACATGTATTTGAGAATGACTGCATGTATTTCACTGTCAGTTGCTTGAGGCAGAAGGGTGGCCTACATAGATTTGGGTCTATTATGTGCAAAGCAGTCTGTCTGAGCAGAGAGTCATCCTGAAATTTAAAAAGGCAATTCAATACTCACCACAAACATGTTTCTGAAGTTGTGGAGATCCGTGAAGAATTCCTCAATTGATACTTTATCGGTGTTAAACAGGAAGTATTGACCTAATTCCTTATAAAGGTTTTCCATGTTTGAGTGCATCATCCGTAGCTTCTCATACTGCTCTTGGGCCTCTTTAACAAAGCTGTTAAGTCTTAAGTTAAAGAACACACCTAGTTGTTGAGTGAAAGTACTGACTAAGTTTAAGTTAGAGTTGCTGTTAATGTTATATTTTCAATGTTGATGTTTTTGTGTGTATTTATTTTCTACCCCACTTTTTCCATTAGAGAGCGGATGGCACAAATGGACAACATGTAAAACAAACAACACCCCCCCCCCAAAAAAAACCCCCAGTGTTTTGGCACAGTACATTCTTTTCACCTGAAGTCCAATTCTGAGTGGGTCTCAGTGGCTGTTCTCATTGTTTTTCTTACCATCAAACTCTTGAGATACGTTGCCTTGATGCATACAAAGTACACCTTTCCATCCAGGCCTGCTGCTTCTTTACTACCCAAGAGCAGAGAGGAAGGAACAAAGTACAGCACAGAGGGCTCAGGAGAACGGCTGAATAATGCTTGTCTGTACTCAGGATGAGGAATCGCTAACCCCACTGATGCTGACCTGTAATTCCCACACCTGAAATGCGACTATGCAGAATAGGCCTGATGGGAGTTATAGTCCAAGAAGATGTGGAAGGTTACATGGTCCTGAGAGTAGCCTTTCTCAAAGTTGTCTTTGGCAGCTGCATATCTGATTCAAGTCCTTAAAATTCAAGGAGATCCAGAGGACTTCTCCACAGTGCCATACATAGGTTTCATTTTTCTACAAGCTATTCATTCAATTTCCCTATGTTCATCGTTTTAAAGGATATAGTCATTTTCTCTACAAATTTATCTTTCTCCTCTGTAGCGCTGGGGAAACTGTCAACATCGCGCTGAACATCTGAAATCTGTTTCTTCATCTGATCCAGGTTTTTCCGTAAATTTTCAGCAGAAACTTGGAGCAGGAAGTGGATTGGAAGAATCAGAAAAAGAATAATTATCTTTCTTTGTATTACTTCTTGATATAAAGGAAGGAAAGAAGGTGTTCAGACATCATTCAGGTTGTGCTCCCAATTAGGCTATGGTTGTTCTGCTAGATATGCCTAGAAGTGACAAGCCCAGCTTCCTACACTCAATTGGAAAAAAGACCACTCACAACTATGTGGCTTGGGGGGGGGCGGGGGTTATCAGCATTGGTAAACAAGTTAACACACATAATAAGGAATCAAGAATAATCTCCCAGCAACTGCCCCCTCCTCTCGTCAGTCTCATTCAAAAGCAAAAACTGACCCCACAAAATATAACGGGAGGAAATAATATTATCATAGGAAGTGGAAAAACAGACTTGTTTTCTCCAAAATAGACAGAAGAGTCCAGCAATGACTACTCTTCCATGGTGATGGCTTTGTGTGTTCCTATGAAGGTATGTTGATGACAGCAGTGCTGCTGGTAGGGTCTCCATATCAGGTAGGTTTTTGCTCAGGAGCCAGAATAAGTGTGCCAAAAACTACTGGGCAGCAGGAGAAGTGGTCGGTGACAGTGAGGATTGAGGAAAGATGCAAATGGTAAAAATAGCTATATAAAGGAGATGAAAGGGTGACAGATTTAGTTGATGAAGAACCATATGAAGATGAACCTCTAGTTTTAGAAACTGAAGTGGTATTTCAGTCAGAATTTGAGAGAAATAAATATCCACAAATAGATGACATAGCAAAAGAATGCTCCAACCTACAGAGAAAGAATCTACTCTAGTTCTAACTAAAATATCTCAAGAAATACAGAAAACAAAACAATGGCTCACATATTAGAAACATTCAAAATTCAATCCAACCCCCAAGAAAGGGGACACCAGGGATTTTAGTACCCAAAGGACCACAGCATTAATTTCTCATGCAAATAAAGTACTGCTCAAAATTCTAGAACACAAACTCTTATCACACATGGAATAAAAAAATTGTAGACATTCAGGAATGCAAAAGTCACTAGGGATCATATTGCAAACATATGTTAGATAATGGAGCATTGCAAGAGAAATTCAGCCTGTGCTCCATAAATTATAGTAAAACCTTTTTATTACTATATCATGAAAAACTATGAATTTTTCTAAAATAAATGGGTATGCCACAACATTTGATTGTCTTGTTTGTAGCCTATACCTGAGGACAAGAGGCTGCTATCAGGGCAGAATATGAAGATTTTGAATGGTTTAACTTGTATGCAGAATATATCATACATAAAACAGGATTAAACTTGGATGAAGGAGGCATTAAAATTTAAGGAAGAATAATCAACCATTTAAGATACACAACTGATACCATATTACTAGTATAGAATAGTAGACTTGGAAGGATTAATGAAGAATGTCAAGAAAGGAAGTGCAAACACTAAAAAAACCCCACAAAAAACGATGACCACAGATAATGTGCATAACTTTACAGCAGACAATGAAAACTTTGAAATATATCAGGATTTGCCATTCATTAACCCAAATGGTGACTGCAATCAAGAAATCCGAAGGAGATTATTACTTGGAAGGAACTGGACAAGATCCTGATTTGTCAAGGTGTATTACTGAATCCTAAAGTTAGGATTGTCCAAGCAATTGTATTTCCCATTTGGTTGTGAAAGCTGGGCAGTGAAGAAAGTTGATAGGAAGAAAATTCAAAATGTAGTGCTACGGAATACTTGTAGATACAATAGACTGCTAAAAAGGGAAATAAATGGGCCCTAGACGAATGCTAGAAGGCCAGATGATTAAATTGAGACTGCCATACTTTGGTCATATCAGAAAGCACTCAAGAAAGCAACAATGCATAGGAAGATAGAAGCCAGTAAAAAAAGAGGAAAACTGCATTCCAGATAGCTAAATTAAATCAAGGAAATCATGACTCTGTGTTTGCAAGACTCGAGCATAGCTGTTGATAACAGGGTGACTTGAAGTTCTCATTTATGGAGTCAAAATAAGTCAAAGTCATCCTGAAGGCAGTTGACATCAGCAATGGTCTTCAAATATGGTCTGAGAATGGGTAGGCATATAGAGTGACTGTAAAGTTTGTTAGAAAAACCTGCTTCAACCTGAGTGGCATTACACCCTATACCAGTTTGTGCTGTACTAAGAATGCTGGTAGATGGATGTATAGCTTGCTGTTAAGCAACATAGCAACTTAAGACAATTGGTCTCCCAAGAGTTTCAACAGCTCACTGTAAAAGTACTCCAAGTGTGCTTCCCAAACTGAATGTGCTAATTGTCTAAGAATACAGAGAACTGTGATAATTGGGTGATATGACTGGCAGCTGAACTCAGCAAAAAGGGATCTCAAAATGTATTTTCTTTGGAAAATACTTAAATGTTACTAAGGGCTCTACAAGCCAACAAGGATGAGTCGGATAAAGATTCAATAAAACATCTTTTGCCACACAATCTAGCCAAACTTCAGTAATACTGAGTTAGAGTGTTGCAGCTGCAAGATTAAGGGGTGGAAAACAGATAATTACAAAGAGGCAAGAGCTCTTGCAACAGAAGGCCACATTTATTACCAATTGGGATTGCTAATTTTGAATTCAAGTGGAAGGGAAGGGTATGAAGAGATCAGGCGGAAGGCAACAGAACAGATATAGACATGGTAACTGTCCTTCCTGAAATCCAAGGTTCAAATTTTATATAATTCCCCATAAAACTGCAGAAATTCTGTTCACTGTTTCAAGACGGACAATAATTGTGTCTGTGGCTTCTTGTAGCAAAAAAAGTGGAAATAATGGGAGGTGTCTTCTATTAAGGCATTTGATTAATTGGAATTGCCATGCTTTGTTCACAATTCTTTAAAAAGTAGATAGTTGACTAATCAAAAAAGCAAATATTATTTTAGCCTGTGAGATGGACAGCTACAAGATGGATGCACATCTTCATACATCAGTCCCAAAGATATATCGTGAGATGCAGAAGCATAGCTAAATGCTATCTATTGAGAGGGGGCAACCTTGTTTTGTGTCACTTTTGATCTTAATGGTTCTTGATTTTATTTTATCAACAATTCTTTTCACAATGGCAATAGAACCATTAGGCAATTTAATCAGAAACAATAAAGGAATTAAAGGATTTAAAATTAGCAAGGAAGAAATAAAACTAAATTTATATATGGATGAATCTGTAATGGAAATTACTAACACTATAAAAAGAATGAAACGTTACGAGCTAGCCATAAACATTGAAAAATCGGATATTCTACACAAAAATCTATCCTAAAAAGAATTAAAAATAGTACAATCCATCTTGGGGACAAAACTGGGGGAAAAGAGGCTAAAATATTTGGGGGTATATATCTCTAATTTTTTTAATAATACAAATAAACTACCACCTACTATGCAAAAGTCAATAGCCAAAAGTCAATAGCCAAATATAGAATTGGGGAAAAATGGAACTGGGATATTTCAAATAGAATCAAGATAGTAAAGATGATGATTTTACCCAAGTTTTTATTCACGTTCCAATTTTTGCCTTACAGTATTCCCAATAAAATAATAAAGAAATGGGATAACTCAATTAAAACTTGGGTAGTAGAGCCAAATAAAAGTAGAATCACCGGTTTAGTATTCTATTCTTTGGAACAAAATGGAGAGTAGGGAACCCCTAGCTCATAAAGTTATTTTGAGGCCTGCCAATGAATGAAAGTACTTAAATTAGATCTTGAGAAGTCTAAAAGAATGGCTGCATTTGAGAAGACAATAAATGGGTGGGATCATTGCATGTGTTTAAAGGGCAGGGTGGATAATAAATTATGAAAGACAATTAAAGTGGGTCCAATGTTGTTGGTTTTTTAAAAAGAATGCTCTCTGTCAGTTGATGTAGCATATTATGTGGTGTTGCCCAAGGTGACCAAGACAACTTTGTGCATTAGACAGTGCTGGAAGGTCTTGAACTGCAAAAAGCTACAAAGTGATGGGAGGCAAACAAAAAGAACAACTACACAGCCTAAGGAGACATAACCAAACGGTGTCACTCTGCTGGTGGATGGGGACAAACAAAGGTTGATGGTAGTTTGGTGGGTAGCATTACAACACTACAGCTAGGCAAATACACCTTTGTCATCTTCATTATAAAAAGACTATACAGGATTTGGTTCTCTATTACATGTGTGGCTTTCATGCCCACTTGTATTTTAGGAGAATATGAATATGTATTCTTGTATTCATTCAAAAGACTGAATAATCAAACCCTGAAATGGTCCAGGAATTGTGCTAATTTCAGTATGCTCTTTTCCTAACCTACTGCAAAATTGTGGCTATACATCTGTCTTGATTCAATTATTCCTTTTTCAAAAACTATGGTTCTGGATGTTGTTAAGGCAGACAGATAAATAACTTTCTCAAAGATCAGAGACTGATGAGCCTCCACACTGATCATTAGTATTTAGAGGAAACCCTGGGAGCAGAGGAAGACATTATGACATAGAACTAGTAGTAGAAAGAATTTCCGTTACTTTATTCTGATGTCATTTTTTCCCATCTCCATCTTTTCCTGTGTGGAGGTTTGGCTATATGTATATATTGAGCCAATGTTTATAAAGGAAGGAAGGAAGGAAGGGAAGGAGAGCATTGGAACATTGGATGCAGATGTCTGCTTTGTCCAGTGATGGGGAACTGACACTTGCAATTGAGAGCTACCTTCCTGGTCTATTTCTTTATGATAAACATATGTTCTCCTGTCATTCTGCTCAGAAAGGTTTTCTTCTTCCTTGTCCCAAGTTAGCATATAAAGAAAGAACATGACACGAGATATCCAAAATATATGTTTTGCATTAAAATATATGATTTACACTACTCGCTGCATGTATACAAATAATCTCTTTCACAACACAACATCATAGTGCAATGATTCCACTTCAACTGCCATGGCAATATCCCTTGAAACCTGGGGTTTGTAGTTTTTGTATAGCAACAGAGGGCCCCTCTGTATGAAAACTCTAAATACTTATCCATAAATTGCAACTTGCACGATTCCATAAGATAGAACTGTGAAACTCAGAGTGGAATAGTGCTGTAACTATGTGGTGTGAAAAGACTCACAATCCCAAAAATACCTTGACAAGCCTTCTCCACATGGATGAGTTCATCAGGAAACTTCAGCACATCAGGATACTGATGTTCACATGTTTCAACCAAAAAGTGCAACAATGTCAATTTCTGGTCAGCTGACTTGGTGTCTCGGAGCTAGAAATGTGGACAAAGTGGGCCAGTATGAGCGTTGCTCAACATAATAAGCCTTTTTCCCCCCACCCACAGCTCCCCAAATATTCTGGTTAGCTATAGTCAAGACATGTAATGAAGATTTGCCTCTCACTCCTCAAACTCACCTTGCAGAGGAAACTGATGTTGAAACCAAAAGCACCAGCATTCATGGATCCAGAATTCATATAATTGCCCACCAGAAGAATGATGGAGAGTAAATTGGAGAAATTCTCACTCTTACGGACTTCCTCGCAGGCTGCTGTCACAGAAACTATCTGTGGCTTGATGTTTTCCACCTGTTCACTGAATTGTAGTTTGAAGAGGATGGCACGGAGGCGAGGCATAAGACGGGAAACTGAACTAATCTGAGAAGGAAAGGGGACAGAATAACACTGTCATGCACAGAGGGTAGAGTAGGAGGAGAATGACAACAAGAAGGAAGGAAAGAGGTCTGAAGAAGGAAAAGAAGAGAACTTGGGTTTTCCATATAGCTTTTTATATAATTGTATAGCTATATAAAAACATTTACTGATAATAAATCAGCATTTGTGAGGCTTGCTAAATAAGCTGATTTTTCTTTTCATGAAGTACAACTGAAGCATCTTCTGCAGAATCACTGTAAACACTGCACATGTAACTCTAAAACAGCTACTACGTGATGTCTAGAAAACTTTTCAGGATCTCAATATTAAGTTAAGGGGACCCCCTTTGGGGCTCAGACCCATACTTTAAGAAGCCCTAGTCTGCAACACATGACTCAAAGGAACTAACTTTGGAAACTTTATAGCTCCCCTCATGGAATTTGACATTGATGGAAGCACAAGTAATTGACTTTAAAAATCCCTTGTTTGGCTTTAACTCCAGACAAACATTTACTCTTAAGGATTGCTTCTCATATGCATGACCTTTGTGCTAGTCAGTCCTAAACCAAAATGTCAAAGGCAATGTTTTATTGGAGACAGGTCTTCTATGCTCTAAAGCTCAATCTGGCCTTTGGAACACACAGAGCACTCAACAACAGTTGCTTGCTTGCTTTCTTGCTGCTAGAACTCTTTGTCCTCACACTAGTATATTAGAGACACACGTAGCATTTCCGTTGAGGCCAGGACTTCCATTACAGATTTACTGAGTCTTATCTGGTCATTTTGTTGGCTCTTAGAGCTCTTATATTTTCCATTACATCTCAAGCAAGACCATTCCAACATCCAAACCATAGAGAATTGTGCTTCCTAGATTAGGCATCTGCCTGATGTCTTATCTGCTCCATTCAGATCTTCAAAAGCCTTAAGAAGAAGACATGAAGACACAAGGTCTACTCAGCTGTTTAAATTCCTAGAAGCCCATGTGCTAAGGAACAGAAGGATGTTAGCAAGCTTACAAACATATTGTTTTGTAGGCTGATATGGACCATCTCAAGAAACGTACACCATATTGTTTTGTAGGCTGATATGGACCATCTCAAGAAACGTACACCACTAATAACAATGTTGGAGTGGAAGTAAAAAGGGACATGACAACAGAGAGAACAGGCCTGAGCAGTAAAAGAGGAAGCCATGTAACACAGTCATGCCTGAGTTCAGCTGGCCTTTTACGAAAAAGTAATTATTTCTCTCTTCTACGTACAAAAGGCAGGTCACCTACCACAACTCCAAATTGCTCTGGCTCAGGCAGTTCAGCATAATCTCCCTTCAGTTCTGCTATCATCTTCAATTTGTCTGGTTCTGGCATTAGCTTAATCAGGTTCTGACAAGAAAGTAAAAGTAAAATGTATTCACGTGATTAAGAATTCGTTACTTAAGTGAGAGAATTGGCCTATGAAATAACCAGTATCTGTCGACCAGGAATGTATTGTTGTTATTAAAAGTCAACAATACATTGTGTGTATGTTTGTACAACAAGGGCTGTTGGCAGGTGAAGTGGCCCACAGTGATGTCACTGGGAAAGAAAGGTAACATGTGTATCAGGGGGAGGAAGAAAGTGAAGTAAGAGAGAGAAAAGGGGAAAAGAAAAGAAAGGAAAAGGAAGAGGGAGAAAGAAAAAGGAGAAAAGGAAGGAAAAGAAAGGAAGTGGGGAAAAGTATGAGGGGAGGGAAAAGAAAGAAGGGAAGATAAAGGAAGGGAAGAAAGGAGAGATGGAAAGGAGGGAAGAGAGATAAAAAGGGAAGAGCAAGGAAAAAGGAAACAGAGAGGGAGAACGTGTATGAGGCAAATGAAGAAAGAAATAGCCACAAAGGGAGCCTGCCCACCATTACCAAAATGTTGCCACTGAGACATTAATAAATAATAATAATAATAATAATAATAATAATAATAATAATAATAATAATAACACTTTATTTGTACCCTGCTACCATCTCCCCAAGGGACTCGGTGCGGCTTACATGAGGCCGAGCCCAAACACAACAATACAAGCAATAATAACAACAATACAAGCAATTAAAAAAACATAGACAATAAAATACACAACATTATCAATAAGACAACACACAATTAAAAACAATGGGAAGTCCAAATGTAGAGTTAAAATTGGAAGTAATGCTAAAATTGGAAGTAAGACATTGTGAGGAAAGCTCTCTCAGAGCTGGGGAAGGGAGAAAGCAGGTGGGCAGAGGCCCTCCAAAGTCCAGGCAACACCAGGTTTATATGCTAGTTAGAGAATGAAGGCACAGCTGGCTCTCCAGACCAATTGATTCAACCAGCAATGTCTTAAAAGTATGTCCCCAAAATAAATTTGTTGATTTTTCCATTTTATATAAGAAACGCCATTTTACTACACCGCTGTATATAACAGGATATAAACATCCACTGATTTTGGCATCAACATGAGATCCTTGAATCAAACCCCTGCTGGTACCAAGGGCCTATTGTAATTCTTTCAAGCCGTGGATCTTCATTCTGTTTCTTTCCCATCCAAGAAAGAAACAAAATCAAAGAGAATATTCCGCCAATACCCACCTGCACCATGGACTCAGTCAACACAACTTCATTCACTTCCAGGATAGCATTCTTGATCTCTTCATAAGGCATGCGGAAGGAACCCAAAAATATTGCTGCCAAATTTAAAGAAAAGAATAATTAAATCTTTGGTACAAAATCCATGAGACCCCTTCCCCATGCTGAAGATTGGATGAATAATCAAAAATCAAAAATAATATGCCTCAATACAATAGTATGCTGAATGTTAAAGGACGACAAATGTACAACTAAAACTTTCGGGGTTCAGGTAACACAATATCTAAAGACTTGAATCAACTTGTTCCTAGAAACTAGCAACTGGATGAAATTTAAAATTTAAACTTGAAAATCCCAAAAGCTGTCACTGACAAGTATAATTACTCTCATTAAAATCCTCCTAATCCCACTTCTCTTTTTCTTCTTTTACACATCAGGTTTTCTTAAACCTTTTCCACTCGCGATTCCTTTCTGCCTAAGAAATGTTTACATGACCTTGGGTATATAAGTACATAAAATACTGTAGGTATAAAAAAATCAAAAACTAATTACAAATCAGAATTTTCAAAGTTGATTTTCCTTTTTATAAAGTACAGCTGAAGCATTTTCTACAGAGACAACCGTAAACACTGCATAACAGATTCATGTAAATGTCTAAAACAACCACTAGGTTTTGTTCAGAAAATGTTTACATTTACTTACATCTTACTTAAGCCCAAAACTCATTTATAAAATTGGTGAATTTAGAAATTCAATATTATCATTTATATTGAGCAGACTCAAAATCCCTGTCTGAAAACATATTTGAATATCTGGAGCAAATGGAAACCAGTACTTCCCTAAATCCTCCCTTCTATCCATCCCTTTCTGCCCCATCCTTTATTGAATTAATATGGTTAACCCACTACTTTTTTGTAAATGGGAAAATTGCAATCTATACCCAATGCAAAATCGATAAAAAGGGTTAAACCTACAAAATCAGAAAAACTGGTTGCAGATATTTCACTATGAAAAGATGATTGGGTTTACTTAGGCTAAATATCATCCATCACATCCAAATTTATTCCATTAGGAGAAACCTATAGATCATTAAAACTATTTGAAACAAATGTGTTACCTATCCAGCAATGTACACAAAGGCCAATCCTCTCTGATTTATGGGCGTCTAATTCAAAATAAATACAACAGAGGGCAAGGCCCCAGAATTGAATGGGAGCCGGAATTTAACTTGAAAATACAGAAAACAAATGGTGTAATTTATGGACTTCTGTTTCTCTCAAATCTGGATCAGCTCTAATTAAAGAGAATGGTGGTAAGATTGTGAACAAATGGTATATAAGTCCAATCAAGGCTAAAATGTCATCTCTAATTGCTGAAGAGGATGCAATCTTAAGAGTATATTTACTCACTTGTAGGTTGACTATATAAAGATAAATAATTTAAGCATCCTATACTCCAAATAATTTCCAAAATCATTGCTGAAAGACTCTAGCTTTCTCCTGGTCTCTTAACCAAGAATTGGAAATACAACATTTTAATAGACCTCTTCTCTTAGAATTGGGATTGAAAGGTATATGAACTACTGGTTAATAGAAAAATAATGTCCACATCTTTAAGAGTCAAATGACTTTCAATTAATGTTAGTTTCCATTTATTTAATACGTTAAAGCATATCACTTGCAGCCTCTTGAGACTCATCTAAACCTCTAGTCAGAGTTCTGAAACTAGATACAGATGAGTTCAATAAAGAAACTTCTGACCACTCCTTCATGGTATCAGTTCTCTAAATAAAGACAGAAGATGAATCATCAACTATATGTTATAACATGAAACATTTACACAGCACAATTGGATCAATTTCTAGCTTATGTGCTTCATTCTTCTAAGGTTTGCTTACTTGTTTGGTTGTATGTTAAGTTGTACACTATAACACACCATGAAAATAAAAACCAAAACAGTATTGAGGCCTGTGAAGCCTGGGAACTCTCTTACTGTTAAACTCTAATATCTCCTTAGAATAAAAAAAATGCTCCCAACTTCATCATACTCACAAAGATTCTGTGCATTCTTTGAATCCAGCACTCTCAGCTCCTTGACCTTCTTCTTTGCTTGGCCCTTCTCTTCTTCATTCTCCTGTTGTTTCTTTACTATGGGCAAGAGGAATAAGAAGACATTAGCATCTCAAGCAGCCCTTTCAGTTTAAATGCCGCAGCTATCTAATTTCCAGAGATAAATAAATACAGCCCTCCTTCTGTTATTTTTAAAAGATGCCAGACATAAGGAGACCAGCAAAGGAAGATTAATACTTTAACACTTGCTTCTTTTCTTTGCTAAAATGTAACAGGATTAACAACAACTGTAGCGCAAGACTGAATTAACAGGGCAGCCACAGCACACATTCGCCTTCATAAAGATACAGAAAAAGCATCCATGTTGGGGGTCTAACATGGAAACTTCACTCCTTAATATCTCCAGAAACCAGAGAGTATCCTGGGTGTTTGTGCATTCAATAAGAAGATCTGAAAAGGAGTCTGCAAGTGTCTTCACTTGCCCATAGGAACCAAATTTCTGGATCAGAAATCCCTGTCCCAACTGTGGGGGCTCGGGGTATTCCAACAACTGTGCTTATGGGATGTTTTTGCAAGCTTTCCCAGTGAATGCTACATGACATGAGGAACACAGGGTGATGGGCTGACATGCATAGCCTTATACATCCAATACACTTTAAGATGTACTGCCTGCATAGGATTAATGTATAGAGATTGGACAAAATAAAACCTTGTAGTTAGAGGGTGGTATTGCAGGTAATAAAGTATATTAAGCAGAGAGGTTCAGGGTTAATGTCTCTCTGAGCTACTGTAACAAATGGTAAACAGCAACACTTTCTGTTCCTTAGCTACAATGTGCACTATCTCATTCCCTTATCTTATTGTTTACATTCTGGCTATGTTTTACGGTAGCTTGTTGCCATAGGTTATCGGACATTGTTTTGAGTTTCAAATTGTTTTTATATGCTACTAGCTGTACCCGCCACACGCTTCTGTGGCCAACCTTCTCTTTCTCTCCTTTTTATTTATTTATTTATTTCCTTCCTTTTTTTCTTTCCTTCTCTCCCTCCTTCCTTCCTTCCTTCTCTTCCTCTTCCCCTCCCCCCTTTATTTCCCTTCCTTTCTCCCCGTTCTTCCTTCTCTACCTATTCTTGGACTGCAACTCCCAGCAGCCCTCCTGATCTATCTATCTGTCTGTCTGTCTATTGGGAGGATTGCTGGGAGTTGCAGTCCAGTAATAAGAAATGGGAAATATGCAGAGATTGGGATGCTCTCGAAGAAATCCAAGGAGAAAAAAGCTTGCATCTTGGAAGCAGTGCATTTGGATCATCCTTCTCTCCTAAAGGGCCTGGTCTAGGGGATGCTGGGAGCTGTAGTCTGGAAGAGAGTGTGGATATTGTTTTGCGCATGCGCTGTAATGTCTTTTTTTTTTTTTTTGCTTTTTTGGCCTTTTAAGTCCCTTCCATAGTGTTTTTCAGTGTTTTTATGAGTGACGGTCATTTGTTGGCTGGATAGGTGTACTGTGTCCCAATTTGGTGTCAATTCATCCATTGGTTTTTGAGTTATGTTAATCCCACAAACGAACATTACATTTTTATTTATATAGATATATTCCATTGTATTGTATTGTACTGTGTGCTTATTTTATGCTCTGTTTTGGGCACTGTAAGCTGCCTCGAGTTCCTTCGGGGAGATAGAGAAGGGATATAAGAATAAAGTTGTTGTTGTTGTTGTTATTGACATACAGTTATGATAAAGGCCATAGATCTATCTGTATGTCTATAAACAAAGAAACTGCACTATTTGCCTTTCAACTCCAGGCTTTTACATGGTGTATGTGTTGGGAAAATGGCACAACACTGGTGGTAGATACTGCATAGGTTCTTAGGAAGTATCAGCCAATCCATTTTGTCACTTGATTTAAGACAATACTTCCCACAGCACCAAATAAACATGAGCTTCCTTTTAATCTAAGCTGTTCAGTGTTGGAACATGTTGCTTAGGAAGGAAGCAGGCTCTCATCTGTTTTCCTGTAAAGTCATGTTATCCATCTACTAGGGATGCTATAACATCAGATCTTTGACAAGATAGCCTCTGGGGTCCAATTCTATGATTTTATGATTCATAAATTCAGTGTGAAATGCTTTTGTTACCAAGGTTGCTACCAGGTTTGATCACATATATTATTTCACTAGCTTCTAAACTTCAATATGGCCAGTAGCCATTTTTTCTGTTTGGTTAGTTGTAGGCTGCATCCTTGGGGTGAGGACTAAGATAAGGCGCAGAGTGCAAAATATGTCTAATAAATAAATATTAATATGATTAAAACATGCAAAAATAGCAAAGTATCTGCTTAATTTAGTATAAACATATGAAATACATTTGCTATAAGATGATAAAATAACTGGTGTTAAGAAGTGAAATAATGCTTTCAAAATGCTTCTATTACTATGCCTTTTCAGAATATTTCATTATAAAAACAATTTAATGACAGAATATTTTGAAAAAAAAATCAATTTTGGAAGCCACAAATTTTGACTAGGATACTGTAACACAAGCACTAGCAGAGGCAGCAAATCAAAAGCTTCATTTTACAAATCACTGGGGAAATGTTTTGTAACACTTTGACAAAATTGCAAAGCCAAGATTTTGACTTAATTGGCCAATGACATGCAACCAGCTATGAGAATCAATTGCACAACATTCATGCAATTCAAAGTCTGCGACCAATTTTTGGTAGAAGATTGTATTTTTTTAAAAAAATGTCTTGTGGTATGTAGTGGATATGAAGATAGGATGGAACACTAAGGGAACCTGTAAGCTATATGCTTTGTTCACCTTGCTTGTAAACATACACTCAACTCGGAATTGGTGGGGAAGAACGGTGACCAAGCAACCAGGCAGGGAATCTTAACTAACTAACTAAACTATCTATCTATCTATCTATCTATCTATCTATCTATCTATCTATCTGAATGAGAGAGAAATGTTTTGTTCTTTTATATGGAGTGTGGGCAACTACAGCCCCTACAAACCTCTTTTGGATACAGTTCCCATCAGCTTTAGTTTGAATAGATAACAGTGTGGGATTGTGCAGACTGCAGTTCAGAAACATCTGCAAGGTTATGGTTCCCTGCCCATTTTAGTCCTTTAAAAGACCCATAAAGGACTAACATTTTATAGCTGTTGGTGGAAAAGTAAAACCGTGTGTGTTAGAGAGAGATGGGAATTATAATCTTTAAAAGCAGAATGCATCAGCAGTGTTTGATGACAGTGATGGGCAACATGGTGTACTCCCAGTGTTTTGGACTATAATCCTCATAAAACCGAGCCAGCATGGATAGTAAACAGGGATTCTGGGAGTTATAGGTCAATCTGGGGAATAGGAGGCTGCTTCCTACACTAAAACTTTCTTTTTTGCCTTAAGAGGTGTATCAACTGTCAGATGAAATTCCCCTTGGGTTGTTGTAGGTTTTTTTGGGCTATATGGCCATGTTCTAGAGGCATTTTCTCCTCTAGAACATGGTCATGTTCTAGAACACAACCTCTAGAACGCAACCCAGTGATTCTGGCCATGAAAGCCTTCAACTATACATTGAAATTCCCCTTTTCACAAAAGACTTTGAGAATAGTCTTGTAATTCTTCACAAGTTCCTTCCAACGGTAAAAGCAAATTACATCTACCCTATTTAAACATAGTTTCTCTGCATTATGCCAGCAGAAGAGACTCCATGTCAAAATCAATGCCATTGCCTAGCATACTGAAATGCATCTCCTGGCAAGATTCAAGAGGGAAATGGTATGAATCTAGGGTGGTGGGGGAAGACAAAAAGAAAGGTCAGAATTTAGTCACTGCTCTCTCTTGCAACGGTTTATTATCCTTGACACACGTACACCCCACAGGTTAGGAGCATTATTACTAAGGGTTCAGAGTCACTGACCTAGTTTCTGAGCATCTGCATCACAGCACAAATTAAGGGTTTTGAGACAGAAAGGAAACACAGCCACTTTATCATATATATGTGGTTTGGGGACTCTCTAAATCAGATTTTTTTCATATTTCCAAATAAGAAAAAGTGGGTAGCATGGTTTGGAAGCACATATTGCTTTAAACTCAGCAATGGAAGCGCCTGGGTAAAGGGAGTGAAATTCTACATCTTTAGGATGCTGTAAGTTAAATAAGAAGTGTCAAGGACTCAATACAGTAGTGTATTTATGCAACTTCAGAATGAAATGTAGAATTCATGAAACTAGATGCTCATTAAAAAATTCTGAAAACAGATTGCTAAGGGAAAGTCTATATGATAGGCCTCCTCCCAAGGAGACTAATTTCTCATGCGCAAAGAACACTATTTTTTTTAATTAATGTTTGATCCTCTGAACCTCCCCTTGTATTCTGTAGTAACACAACACAGCTATAAAAATTTAACATTTCAGTAAGAAAAGAATCAAGGTGAAGGCAAACAGGAACATGTGGAAGCAGATGGGTTCATAAAGAGTCAGTAGGAGCACTCACTGAATGGAGAGATATAGCAGAGTAGGACATGGGCTGAAAGAGGAGAAAAGATGCACACATATAAGATGCTATGCTTATTAGACTAAAGGAAGCTGGACACATACAAGATGCTTTCTCATCAGAATAAAAGAAGCCCAGCTCCTCTTTTATCAAGAACTCTTGGGGCCCACATCACAGTAACCTCTCTAAGGCACACTCACTGACAGGTCACAATAGTATGAGAACTGATTCTGACTACTACAGCTGGCAAGCACACAGCCCTCATCCTTCTTATGTGCACTGTGCAGTAATCTGTTCAGATTCTCTGCCAGCACCAGATTCCCAGTATTGGTGGGAGGGGTGTCAAAATTCCTTACTTTTCTAGGGCACTGCTGAAGAGAAGGCTGAGAGGAGACATGATAGCCATGTATACATATGTGAGGGGAAGTCATAGGGAGGAAGGAGCAGGCTTGTTTTCTGCTGTCCTGGAGAGTAGGACATAGAAAAGAGTCTTTCCATCTGAACATTAGGAAGAACTTCCTAACTGTGAGAGCTGTTCAGCAGTGGAACTCTCTGCCACAGAGTGTGATGGAGGCTCCTTCTT